AACGGACCTGAACGTTTCGGCTTGATGAGCTCGCGCACCGCGGTGTCGCTCGCAGTTCTCGCCATGAACAACATGGCTGTGCCGAACATAAGGCACAGCCCGGACTTTGGTGTGGCAAGGCTGAGAAGGGCCTACCAGTTCAGGTCTATGACGGAGCATTGGTGAGTCATGTTCCCACCTCCGTCATGACTGGGGCGTCTGATACAGACCGCCAGGACGCAGAAGCGTCACGGAGCTGTCAACGCGCCGACAGCTCTGCGTACAGCAAGGCCATGCTCCGCTGCGGCAATGCCACGGGCATGGGTCTTTTGCCCGGCGTGTGGACCTACTACACCAGCAGCGTCCAACGCCGAAGGTCGTCGCGCCGTACGGGCTTCGACAGTGGTTATGCCTTTAAGCGCTAACCAGGTGGGTAACTTAGGATCACACGGTCGCCCAGACCTTAACTGAAGAGGAAGGCGCTGAATGCGCTTCCTGTGTGGATAACACAGTACCACACGCAGTCGCCCAGACTATAACGGAAGAGGAAGGCATGACCGTGCTTCCTGTGTGGGTAGCACAGTACCACACGCAGTCGCCCAGACTATAACTGAAGAGGAAGGTATTGTCCATGCTTCCTGTGTGGGTAACACAGTGCCACACGAGGTCTCGAGTGCCTCTGATGTCGTCAACGAGACATCATGACGTGGGTAACGAAGTGCCACGTCACGTCAGCCGCCGCAAGTCGGGTCTGAACCTTGTTCAGGCCGACGTCGCTTCAAGCGACTCGGAGTCCAGGGCCCGGACTCCTCTGACTTGGTCGGTGAGCACCAACTCGGTCCGGTGTGTGTGCGGGTCTGCCACGTCAGCTGACCCCAACACCAAAGGTCGTCGCGCCGTATGCGCTTCGACAGTGGTGGTGCCGAAGGGCATTCACCAGGTGGGTAACATAGGTCCACACTGCGGGTAAAGTTCCGCAAGCAGCGAAGCTGCTTAAGGAGACTGACATTCGGTGCTCCGAGCGTGGGTAACAAAGTTCCACGCAAGGTCACTCAGACCATATACTGATAAGGAAGTCGCTGTATGCGCTTCCGGTGTGGGTAACAGAGTTCCACACAACCAAGGTGGGTAACAGAGTTCCACACAATCAAGGTGGGTAACAGAGTTCCACACCCAAGGCGAGTAACATAGCGCCGCACACAGAGCCATTGGATCGAGGCGCGAGGTTGTCTTGGCCTCGCCAGACGTGAGCAACTCGCTCGACGTCAAGTCGCGCAGACTCAAACTGCTGACGCGAAGGCTGAATGCCTTCGGTCGACACGACCGACGCGGTCGACCATACCGACGCAGTGCACATGGCGGAGAGCCGTTGCGCCTGCCAGTGGCTATTAGAAGCCACGAGAAACTCAATAGTCTCGAGTGTAAGTGGGGGCGAGGCTCGGAAATACCTTTCCTCCCTGGTCTTGAGGTAAGACCAAGTTCCTTACGGAACCAGGCGCCGATGTACATCGACTGCAGGCTGGAGGCGAACAGCCGGGCTAGAGCTGCGGTAGCTCTAGCCGAACAAGACATAGTGGCGAAGAAAGCCACTGGCGCAAGGTGCCTCGGAATCGCTGAGCGAATCAGCAGTGTTGGGGTTGCAAGCAACCACACACGAGACGAAGCGCGGGCCTAGTGCAATCAACGCACTGGTCCCTTGGTCATGAACGACCTGTCGAGTAGGGTGAACGGAACGTCTCACCCGCCGACAAAGCGGTTGCGGTACGTGATGTACGCAACGCGCCGGGTATAATGGGCCGTGGAACCATAACCCAAGTGTGGTGCACGAGTGCACACACAACTGACCAGGTGGTGGTCGAGGCAAGGCACGCAGTCGTAACTGGTGCCGCGCCGATCATGACACCGTGGTGACGGTTGCTTGCCTCACCATGGGTTGATACCCATGAGTACTCGGTGTCGATGCCAGACACCAACGCCGCAGTGGCATGGTGGTGAGATATGCCCCACCACGGTCGAGTACCATCAAGGTACATGGTGTCTGTGACAGACACTGGTATAAGTGCAAAGAATATGCACCATACCACGACCCGATGCGCTCTGGACGCTGTGAGTCAACGCACGTTCCGTGCATCGGCACTAGCTGCTGTCGAGCAGCCTGCCAGGAGTTCCACGTAATGAACTCGTCGTGCATGACACACATGACGTGCACGGAGCACTTATGGTAGCTGTGGTACGTGTCGTACACAGCGTACCTCGTGTACGGGCCCATGGACCTGTACACTGAGCTTGCACATGCGTCGTGCATGATGCGAGCACTGGCCATGAATCTGTTCAGGCGACAGCACAGCAGAAGCTGTTGCCGCCAAACATGGCAACATTGTGATGGGCGTACCGCACTAAAGGTTAGTACCGTACGGTACATGGTGTCGATGGGAGACACCTACACTACGGTTGTGTACCGTCACGGTACACGGTGTCGATGAAGGACACCGTCGCGCTGTTGGTATGGTGACCAAGACGCGAAGAGAGCGTGGCAGAATCTCCGCCCGCAAGGATGGATCCTTGCTGGAGCCAAAGGCATGACCCGAGGTGAGCTGAGAGCTCCCTCTAGTGCTGGGGAAGGTGTTGCCCTTCTCGGTGTCGTCCCTCGCGGGAGACACCATGCTCCGGACGCGTTCACGAGGACTGTCGTGCCCTCTGGTGCGAACTGTGGGCGAATACCACACGTTCGGATGCTATTGCACCCTGTGCCAAAGCACTGTACGCGCGCTAGCGCAGGAGCTAAGGCAGCTCTGAGTGTAGGCTTTGTGGCCAACACAGTTGTGAGCATAGGGATGCAAATCCCAGTGAGCTTTGGCAGCACAAGTCACTGTGGGTGTGACTGAGAGCCGCACCAGTCTCGTGGCTGCTCAGTGTGAGAATTCACCTTTTGGTGTTTTAATTCTCTCACTTCTGATTGGAGAATCAGGTGATTCTCAGTTAAGTGCGGAAAGATGTAACGGGGTACAATCCAGTGTGCCCCATGTTACATAAAGAGTGACCCGTCACTCTTGTGGACACCTGGTACACGGTACCAGGTGATCTCGGAGCCAGTCAGTGCATGACTACTTAGCTCCACTATAGGTAATCTTTAGTTTGTATGAGACCCAAGCTTATCTTACTTAAAATACATCAGTCTTAAATCTACTCTTCTAAGTAGCAAACCGTTCCCTTTGAGGCCGGGAACACGTGGACTTACGTTCACTCGGGTAGTTAATACCCTTAAGCACTTTCTCTGTGCAAGGTGCTGTGTGACCCCGTCACAACTTCACATAGACCTTTCAAAACTCAAAACAAAACGTGGCACCCACAGTGTCGGACACGGATAGACCTATTACTTTTGCTTGTTACCACTTTTGCTAGCAGATTCTACTGCTCACTCTAATTAGTCGTGCTTCGAAATTAATCGTGCATTCGCGCTTTAGTGACGTCACAAATATGTGATATTTTTAGAAGGTTCACCAATTTTAAACAAAAGCAACGGTTTTAAGCAGATCTCGGCATTTACTTTATTCTAGTATGCTTGGCTTGAAATATGAGCTAGTAGTTTTTAAATAACGGGCAGTTAAATTTCCAAAATTCAGTGCTCCAATCTAAACACCATAATTAGTCATGGTATGACTAATTAGAGTACTACCTCTGGTACTATTGATGCTACTGTTTTTTCAAACTGCACTACTACTTCTAGTACTACTCTACTACTTATACTACTCCTGCAATTACTACTACTCTTTTGGCCATACTATCTCATCTATGTTGAGGTAATACTCAAGCAGCTGCAGCTACTACTACTATAATAGCTAAAATACTACTACGCCTTTCACTCAGTTAGTTACAACTACTACTTTCGAAGTTCTACTGGTCTTTTTTTTTCATTCGTTGGCATTGGTCGAATCAGCCTCGGCTTCAATTGCCGCCATGAAGTTTTGCTGGCGCTGCGACCAAGTCGGTGATATCACCATCGCTTTTCTGCGTGGTGAGTTTGTGGATGTGTCAATTGAACTAGGTTCGGGGGTGCCTTCACTGTGTGACGTAGGAGTGCTCTCCTGTGTAGCTGTCTTGTCATTCTCGTACATCGTCGCGTGGCGTGAATTGCGAGACGTGTCAGGTGCATCTAGGACGGTATTTCTAATCTGTGTCTGATTGTTGGAGTGTCTGTTAGTTAGCGGCGAGGTCGCCATATCATCAAAGCTCAAACGTGTAGATATCTTCGCCTTCGTGGATGACATCGACCATGCTGGAGATCTGACACCATGCGAGTGCTTGTCTCTTTTCAATACTGGAGTGGTGGAACCGAGTTTATTCCTTTTGGTCGGTCGTGGTGGGGTACATCGCGTTGGTGGTGACGCACGTGCGTTGTTCTCCTTATGAAGACTGGAGTTTGGAAGAGGCAGCAGTAGCTGCAGTCGCTCCATCTTGCGTTGTCGCTCTCGTAGCGTAGCTGAACAGCGTTCAATCGTCTCTGCACAGCGTCGATGCAGCTCCATGGGTGACTTGGATGGCCCCCGCGACCGAATCGAGCCCAGTCGACTGGAAATAGCCGCCTGTCTTGAAGGCCTAGGCTCGTCCTCTGCACGCTTCCTCTCCGGCTCGTCGATTCCACTCGGAACATGCAGCTCGTTTTCACTTTCTTCCTCTGCAAAAGGTCCAGTGTCCGAAAGTCTTTGATCCATTTTCGCCTTCGGGTGTCGAAGCCTACCCCAAAACGTGTTTGACGGTGTTTTGATGTCCTTCAATTAGAGCGAGGAAAAGCAAGCGAAGACCGTTTCAAAACCAACACGCCACCAAAATCCACAGCATCTCGCGCATCGTCTCGTCAATAAAGATGAAGCCATGTTGTACCAGCCACCCTGGTACCTCCTCATCGTGCCATCGAAACGACGCGAGCCAAAGCGGCGCTCTCAGTGGCCCTGCGATCCAATTCGCCAACACCAGAAAAAAAAAACTAAAAGATACTTCCAATTTAAGTTTATTGCAGACGCATGTCACTTGACGAAGTGACGCGCCGCTGGCTGCAGCGCCTCGTGTCGCGGTCACTCGACGTCGATCCGTCGACGTTCGACCAGCTCCTGACAGAAACCAAATCCGTGGACAGCATAGAAGAACCTTCGGCTTCGGAGCTGGTGCAGTCATTCTTCTCCTCAAAGTCTGAAGCTGGCAGCGTTCTCTTCTTCTACAAGGGAGAAGAACAATATGAGCTCGAAGAGGACGTGGAAGAAGAGATTGAGGTGACGAGAGCAGCCTCCCCGACAGGTAAGTGGAGTTTCCATAGAATCCAAGTAGAAGTTGATACTTAAATGCAAATGTGATATCGCAGACCCGCCAAGCGGTGGCGTATCGCCAGCAGAGCCGACGGACGAGCAGTTGTTTCTTGATGCGGAGGCTCCTCCACCACAGACGGAGACGGTGAAGAGAATTGTGAAGCGAACTCGAACAGCAACACGCTCAGTTTGCCACGTGTTTTTGAATTCTCTTCCTGCAGAGTCTTCGGAGTCCGCCACAGTGTTCCTGGTCAAAGTGGCTGCTGGGCCAATTACAGTCCAGAACACTGTGGTCGATGGACACGAGAAAGCAGTGTACTTGAACGTAGAGCTTGGCTGCTCGACGGGCGACTTGCTGTCGAACCTGGAGGGAATCATCTGTCACGTGTTCATGCCGCTGCTGGATCCTCAGCTTACGAGACCAGATCATTCTAACGGACGACCAGAAGACGACGAACATGCAGCAAAGAACTCGTCTGCTGCACACCAGGCGCTCAAGGTCATCGACGCTGTGCGCAACGAGTTCAAGAGCAACTTAGTCAAGTTCTCGTCGCAGATTTCCAACGCAATTCAGCAGATCCAGGGCGATATTCACTTGAACATTCCCGACGTCGTTATCACGAAGCCAGAGTCTCATTTGGATGACTACGAACTCATCAACAGACTGGAACAGGCACTCGAGGAATGGTCCAAGAGCGTAGCCAGTGTCGTAGAACAGGAGAGTCGCAAGACCCCCAAACGCAAGGGCCCTCTCGCTGAGATCGAGTTCTGGCGCGAACGTAACGCTACACTCAGCACCATCTTCGAGCAGATCAACATGCCGACAGTCCAGAAGATGCTCAAGCTGCTGGAGCTGGTAGAAGCGAGCATGCTTCTCACGTTTAAATACCACTTCTCGGAGCTCAGTAAGCTCTACGTGGAGGCCAAGGACAACGTCAAGTTCCTCACGACGTTGGAGCGTCACTTCAAGAACATCGCGAGTGGCTCCTTCTCGGCGATAGCGGACACGCTGCCGTCCATGATGAACGCTATCCGTATGGTTTGGATTATATCGCGGCACTATAATACGGATGAGCGGATGGTGCCTTTGATGGAGCGTATTGCATCGGAGATTGTGGATAAGGTGGCGGTGGAGATCAATATCCACATGATCTTACGGAAGAGTCCAGAGAACGCGCTACATGCGATCGAAGAGGCCAAAATGGTGCTTGAACTCTGGCACTCGACGTACATGAAAGTCCGTGAACGCATTGAAGCCAGCGGCACCGACCACCGCTGGGAGTTCGACCGTAAGCGTCTGTTTGAGCAAACCAACTACATGGCCAAGATCTGCGAGAATTTACAGGAGGTGGCTACAGTTTTGGACCAGTTCAACAAGTTTTTAGGCCCCGAACTCAAGTCCGTGACGGGCGATTCCCAAGGGATCGATGAAGTTATGGCTCGTGTTGAAAGTCTCATTGCGCCGTTCGAGAGCGTCCCATTTAAGATCTTTGACCGCGGCTACAAGACGAGCTGGGAGTCGGTCATGGTGCAGTTTCGCGATAAAGTGAGCGAGATTGAGCACATGACGCGGAAGTTCATTGACACGTCCTTCCAGAAGCTTCGCTCGGCCGAAGGAGCGTTCGATCTGCTGCAGAACTTCCAGAACATTCAGTCGCGCGACTCCATCAACAAGCAGATGATGGAAAAGTACAAGGATATCCTCATGCAATACACGAAAGAGCTGGAGAAGCTGGAGGAACAATTCCATCGCTACAAGCACCGTCCACCCGTCTACAAGAACCACCCTCCTGTTGCAGGGGCGATCAGCTGGTCCCGTGCACTTTACCTGCGGGCTAAGAAGCCTATTCTACGCTTCCGAGCCATGAACGACTTGCTCAAGAGTCCGCACGGAGAAGAAGTGAAGGAGAAGTATCTGGTATTCGCTCGCGCAGTGGACGCCTACATCAAACAGCTTCACAAAGACTGGAGAGACAAGGTACCTGCGCTCACGAACGAGTGTCTAAAGCAGTCGATTCTGGGCCCCAAGTTGCTGGAAGCAGGCAAAGCGGAGACCGGCGTCATGTTGTACAAGCTGCCGCAGCCGCCATTCTACGCGAACTTTTCGCCAGAGTTGGCGATGATCATCAAGGAGTCGAAATACCTTGATCGCCTTGGCTTTGAGATCCCAGAAGAGGCGCTGAATGTGACGCTACAAGAGGACAAGTACCACCAGTACGTGCAGGATCTAACGCTGATGCTTCGACGCTACGACTCGCTTCTTTCGGGCCTGACACCAGTGGAGACGCATCTCTTACGCTCCCAACTCAAAACGCTGGAAGATGTTCTACGCGTGGGGTTTTCTCCTCTCAACTGGAACTCGCAGCGTGTGTTGAGCTTCATTGAGAACTGCAACAAATCCCTCAACCAGTTCGCAAACCTGGTGAGCCAGATCCATAAAAGCAGCAAAATGGTGGAAGAGATCGTGATGGACATCGAGAACACGCTTCTCATCAAGATCGAAGACTTCGCGGAAGGCGTCGTGACGGAGGTGGGCGAGTTCTACGAGCTCGTTACACGCAACCGCATGCAGCGTATCGAGGAGCTCGTGCAGAGCTACCGCTCCATCGGCCCTCTGCTGATCAAAGTGGAAGAAATCGTGGCTGGAGTGAACACTGGCACCAGTCCAAAGATGTCGACGTACTACATGTACTGGGAGCGACGGATCTTCAACGCGATCACCAAGATGATTATTGCCTCCATGACGACATTCCAAGCTCTGCTGAACGTCCATACCAAAGACATTAGCAGCGCGATCTCGATCATGGGGCAAGGAGAAGGAGGAAAGCTCAAACGGCCTCCTCTGTGTAAGGTGAAAGCCACCATGAACGGCAAGGACATCATCGTTACGCCGTCGCTCTCGGACATGTACAAGTATCTGAGCAAGTCGGTGAAGCATATCGTCGAGAGCGCCAAGGCCTTTATCCGTTGGATGCATGGAACCTGTCGAGAGACGGCGCCGCTCGTGGTGAACGAGGACGAAGAGCCCATCACGTTTACGTTCTACTCGGATATCTCGCAGAACCCGTACGTCATCAAGATGACGCTGTCCCTGAACCAAGAGATCCACAAGGTCTTCAACATCGTGAACCGGTATCTGGATAGTTGGCGGCGATACGATACGGTCTACAATCTCTGGAACACCAAGCGTCGTAGTGCACTCGAGAAACTGGCAGACAAGAAGCCTCCGTGTGTGTATTTCGACACGCGAATGGCTCAGTACACGCGACTGGCCGAGTCTGTACGCAACCAGCCTACAGAGAAGGACACTGATTTCTTACAGATTAACTGTCTGCCACTCGCCGTTTCTATCGCTAAGCAGGCCGAGATGTGGAAGGACGACTACGGGAAGATCCTGCTCGAAGTGTCGAACAAAAAGCTGGTGGCCATCAGCAATAGTATGGATCAACTGGAGGCCGAGCTGGAGGCATCGCCAGAAGATCTCGAGTCACTGAAGAAGGTGCTGAATACTGTCGCGAGTATCAGCGACATGGGGATGGAGATGGAGCTGGAATACGCCGACATCATCGAGAGATACCGCACGCTTCAGACGTTTAACATCGCAGGGGATCCGGCCGAGTTTAAGAAGGCATTCTCGCTGGAGCAGCGCTGGAAAGACCTTTACATCGCGTCGAAGACGAAAGATTTGCGCTTAGTGAAAGTCAAAGATCAATTTCGAGGCGTGACGAAGCAGGACGCTGTGAACTTTGCTGAGGAGTGTAAGGAGATGAAGAAGGAGTTCATGGAACGCGGACCAGGGACGTGCTCGCTTGACCTTGACGCAGGCCTGGAGACCGTATCGGCGTTTAAGAAGAAGCTCGCTGTGTTCAAAGCGCGACGTCAGGAGCTGGCGAACGCGGAGAAGCTGTTTGCGCTGCCTATCACTTCGTATCCAGAGCTACAGCAGATCACGGAAGCGTTGGAGAAGCAGGAGGTTCTCTACGATTTGTATACCGAGCAGAAGGAGTTCATCAGCAACTTCTCGAGTATGCTGTGGGCAGAGCTGGACGTGACAGCCATGAATAAAGGCGTGGAGGAGCTGGAGAAACGCTGTCGTAAGATCCCCAAGGATCTGAAAGCCATGTCTACTTTCGTGGAGGTGGAGAAGCAGATATTGTCCTTTAAGGAAAGTATTCCGCTCATCCAGAGTCTCAAGAACGAAGCTGTAAAGCCGCGTCATTGGGAGGAACTCATGGCGGTCACGCAGGTGCGTTTCGACATGAACTTGAAGACTTTCACCCTTGGAAACCTCTTTGCGATGAAGCTGCATCGCTTCTCGAACGAGATCGGAGAGATCGTGAATGCTGCGATGCAAGAACAGAAGATCGAGCAGGAGATTATCAAGATCGAAGACTCGTGGTCCAAGGCCGTGCTGGAGCTCGTCAAGTACAAGAAGAACGGCACGGATCGCGGCTGGGTGCTTCGTGCTGCTGACGAGCTCAAGATCACGCTCGAAGACCACATGCTGAACCTCCAGACAATGTCTGGCTCACGCTTCATCGCGAGCTTTGCGGAGCGCGTGCGCAAGTGGGAGAAGCGTCTTGGAGTCGTGAACGAGTGCTTGGACATCTGGTTCGTCGTGCAGCGCAAGTGGATGTATCTCGAGAGTATCTTCGTTGGTGCCGAGGATATTCGACAGCAGCTGCCAGAGGAGGCGAAGAAGTTCGACGCTATCGACAAAGCCTGGAAGACTATCATGGGCGCCACGTACAAGAACGCCAACGCAGTGGAAGCCTGTACGGCGGAGAACCGCGTGGAAACGCTACAGTCTCTTTCTGAGCGACTAGACAAGTGCCAGAAATCTCTGAGCGACTATCTCGACACGAAGCGCAATTCCTTCCCACGTTTTTTCTTCATCTCGGACGATGAGCTTCTCAGTGTTTTAGGCTCTTCGGATCCCACGTCGATCCAAGCTCACATGCTCAAGCTCTTTGACAACGTTAAGCAATTGGGCTTTGTGCGGAACAACAAGAACGTCGGAGCGATGGAGAGCGCAGAGGGAGAAGGGTTCCAGTTCCGTACGTTGTCGGCCGTTGAAGGCCCCGTGGAGTCGTGGATGACTGGAGTTGAGGACGAGATGCGAGTCACACTGCAGCGCATTGCGAAGGAAGGGGTGTTTCAATACGCCAACATGGATCGAACCAAGTGGCTTGAAGAGGTTCTGGGCATGGTGTCGCTGGTTGGCAGTCAGATTTGGTGGACGTGGGAGGTCGAGGACGTCTTCCATCGCGTCAAAAGTGGTGACAAATACGCTATGAAAGGACTGGAAGGACGACTAACAGAACAGCTCAACAGCCTTGTGAGACGTGTGCGTGAACCGCTGGACAAACTCACTCGAAAGAAAGTCAACACGTTGCTGATCATCGACGTGCACGCTCGAGATATCGTGGACTCGTTCGTCCGCGACAGTATTCTTAACGAGAAGGAGTTCGCGTGGGAGTCTCAGCTACGATTCTACTGGCGAAAAGATGTGGACGACGTGGTCATCAGTCAGTGCACAGGCAACTTCCGCTATGGCTACGAGTACATGGGACTCAATGGACGACTTGTGATCACTCCTCTAACGGATCGCTGCTACATGACACTCACTCAAGCTTTAACCTTTAAGCTCGGAGGCTCACCTGCTGGTCCAGCCGGTACCGGAAAGACTGAGACAGTGAAAGATCTGGCCAAGTCGCTGGCGTTACCGTGTTATGTCATCAACTGTGGCGAAGGTCTGGACTACAAGGCGATGGGCAGTATCTTCTCGGGTCTCGTTCAAGTGGGAGCTTGGGGCTGCTTCGACGAGTTCAACCGAATCAACATCGAAGTGCTGTCTGTGGTCTCCGCCCAACTCCGAGCGATCCAGAACGCTCTCAACTACGACAAACCCACCGTCGATATCGGCTTTGGCACAGAGATTGCTATCCATCGCACGGCAGGGTTCGCCACGTGTGGCTTCTTCATCACGATGAATCCTGGTTACGCTGGACGAACCGAACTTCCCGACAACCTCAAGGCTCTCTTCCGCCCTGTGACTATGATCGTCCCGGACTTGTTGCAGATTTGCCAGATCATGCTCTTCTCGGAAGGTTTTGAGCATGCCGTGTCTCTCGCCAAGAAGATGACGGTGCTGTATAAACTCTCGCGCGAACAGCTCTCCAAGCAATACCACTACGACTTCGGGTTACGAGCGCTGAAGAGCGTGCTGGTGATGGCAGGGTCGCTGAAAAGAGAGTACAGCGACATGAACGAAGACCTGGTGCTCATGCGTGCACTACGAGACAGCAACATGCCCAAGTTTGTCTTCGAAGATGTGCCTCTTTTCCACGGCCTTATCAACGATCTCTTCCCTGGTTTGGACTGCCCTCGCGTGGGGTACGCAGCGTTGAAAGACGCTATCGAAGCAGAACTCATCGCTGGCGAGTACAACACGACTAATGCTACAGTGTACAACGAGCAGATCGATAAGATCATTCAGATGTACGAGACTATGCTGGTGCGTCACACGACGATGATTGTTGGCCCTACAGGGGGAGGCAAGACGTTGGTCCTGAACACGCTGGCAGCTGCGTCCAAGACCGCGCTAGACGAACAAGTTAAGATCTTTGTGCTCAACCCGAAAGCCCAGCCGATCGCAGAGCTGTACGGCACGATGGACCCGGTCACGCGCGACTGGACGGATGGAGTGCTCTCGAAGCTCTTCCGTGAACTCAACCAGCCTCTCCCCGCTGGAAAGGAGAATGAAAAGCGCTGGCTTATCTACGACGGAGACGTGGACGCCGTCTGGGTGGAGAATATGAACAGCGTCATGGACGACAACAAGCTGCTCACGCTGCCCAATGGTGAGCGGATCCGGCTTCAAACGCACTGCAGTATGATCTGCGAGACGTTTGATCTGCAATACGCGTCGCCTGCTACGATTAGTCGCTGTGGTATGGTCTGGGTTGACCCGAAGAATCTCGGCTATCGTCCGTACTACGAACGCTGGCTGAAGAAAAAGTACCCGATGGTAGCAGTCACTGCATCTTCAGACACACCGCCAAGTGTCATGTCTCCACCTCCTGGGAGTCTTGTGATCCCACTGGAGCGTACTCTACTGCTCGAGCTGTTCGACAAATACGTGCCCAAGTGCATCGACTTCATCCTTGAAGGAGTCTTCGGCAAAGACGAGATCGTCGCGAAGTGCCAGCAAGTGATCCCGATCAGCAACATGGAAATGTGCAAACAGCTCTGCATCTCGCTGGACGCTTTCTTGCCGAGTGATGGCTCGTTAGACCCGACTACGGATCGTGCGAGTGTCGAAGGAATCTTCTTGTTCAGTGTCGTGTGGTCTCTAGGAGCTGCTCTGCTTGGTAGCAGTCGTTCCCGGTTTAACGAGTTCATCCGGAAGATAGCAGACTGCCCGCTACCTGCAACGAGTCTCTACTACAATTTCTTCGACTTGGAGACGCGCAAGTGGCAGCCGTGGGAATCCCGAGTCGTGCCGTATACTGAACCAGCGCCGTTCAACTTCTCTCGAGTGTTTGTCCCGACTACCGACTCGGTTCTGTACAGCTTTATCCTCGCCAGCTGCATGCGAACAGAGAATCCCATCTTGCTCGTAGGAGAGAGCGGAACAGCGAAGACGGTGACGATCCAGAGTTATTTGGCGAGTCTAGATCAACAGACATGTTCCACACTGAGTATCAACTTCTCCAGCCGTACAAGCAGTCTGGACGTGCAGACGAACGTCCAAGCGAACGTTGACAAGCGATCGGGCAAGATCTACGGTCCCCCGGCAGGCAAAAAGCTGCTAATCTTCATTGACGACCTGAACATGCCCAAGGTCGATTTGTACGGAACACAGCAGCCAATTGCCCTGCTGCACTTCATCATGAATCGTGGTAGTATGTACGACCGTGGGAAGGAGCTGGATCTGCGAATTCTCAAAGACTTGCTCTTCATCGGCGCTATGGGCCCTCCTGGAGGCGGTCGGAACCAAGTGGATCCACGATTTGTGGCCCAGTTCAACGTATACAACCTCACGCCCCCTACGAAAGAAGTGCTGAAGCACATTTACGGCTCGATCGTGACCACATATCTTCGTAACTTCAGCGACGAGATCCAAGCGAAGGGGGTCAAGTTAACCGACGCACTTCTGCGGTTCTTTGAGTTCACACTTGAGAAGCTCCCGCCCACTCCGTCCAAGTTCCACTACATCTTTAATCTACGCGACCTCGGACGTGTCTGCGAAGGTATCTGCATGGCCACGACCGATAAATTCGATACCTCGGGCAAGATTGTGCGTCTGTGGCGCAACGAAGTGAAGCGCATTTTCTGTGACCGACTGACCAGCGAGTCCGACAACGCGCTAGTGGATGGTGCCATCACACAGATCCTGCGTGAGACGTTCCCGGAGGAAGCAGAAGCGGCTTCTGTTGACCCGCTCATCTTCGGTGACTATGCGGACTGCATCGGACGCATCACCGGCCAGGCAGCAACGGAAGACGCTCGATTGTACCAAGATATGGAGTCGTATCGACGTATTCGCGGCATCTTCGACGAAGCTCTAGAGACGTACAACTTGGACAACAAGCCGATGACTTTGGTGCTGTTTGAAATGGCGTTAGAGCATCTGTCGAGGATTCTGCGTATCATCCGGAATCCTCTGGGCCACGCTCTTCTTATCGGTGTTGGCGGCAGTGGCAAGCAGAGTCTGTCGCGACTAGCTGCGTTCACAGCAGGCTACGACCTGTTTGAGATCTTCTTGACTCGAGGATACGGCGAAGCTGAGTTCCGGGAGAACCTGAAGGAGCTGTACCGTATGCTGGGCAAGAAGCCTGTCGTCTTCCTCTTCACAGACGCACACGCGGTCGAGGAAGGATTCCTAGAATTCATCAACAATATGCTGACAACGGGGGTTGTGCCCGCTTTATTCGAGACCGACGAGCGCGACGCTCTTGCCAGTTCGGTGCGTGACCAAGTGAAAGCTGCGGGACTCGTCGAGACGAGCGAGAACTGCTGGCGGTTCTACGTTAGTTTGTGTCGTCAGAACCTCCACGTGATCTTGGCCATGTCTCCGTCAGGCAGTACGCTGAGAACCCGATGCCGTAACTTTCCGGGTTTAGTGTCGGCCACTGTCATCGACTGGTTCTTCGCCTGGCCCGAAGATGCTTTACGTAATGTGGCGCAGTATTTCCTGGCAGAGGAGGCCATCCCAGAGGAATCCCGTGAACAAGTGACAAACCACCTGGTGCACGCACATTTGCGGGTTGTTCGTGTTGCCCACCAGTTCGGAGAAGAATTGCGTCGACATTACTACGTGACACCGAAGAACTACCTCGACTTCATCTCGAACTACCGCTTGCAACTGAAGGAGAACAAGATGAAGGTCACGGCCAGTATCGCGCGGCTCAAAGGAGGACTGACCAAGCTGGTCGAAGCTGCTCAAGCCGTTGATGTGATGCAGATCGAGCTGTCCGAGAAGAAAGTGATTGTGGATGAGAAGACGTTGGCGTGTGAAGCGTTGATCAAGACAATCGAGGAGAAGTCGGCAGTGGCGTCCAAGCAGCAGGAAGTGGCTGCAGCGACTCAGATCGAATGCGAGAAGGCGTCCGTTCTCATTGCTCGTGAGAAGGAAGAGGCCGATGCTGCGTTGTTGGAGGCTCTTCCGGCTGTAGAAGCCGCCGCAGCAGCGTTGCAAGATCTCTCTAAGGCGGATCTTACAGAGTTGAAGTCCTTCGCGTCTCCTCCTCCGCTTGTGATGTCCGTGTGCATGTGCGTCTTGATCCTAAAGCCAACCGGGCAAGAGCTAGATCTGGACTGGAAAGGGGCCAAAGTGATGCTGAGCAACGCCAACTTGATCACGTTACTGAAGGAGTATGAGAAGGACAAGATCTCGTCGAAAATGATCACGAAAATCAAGACTTTCTTCAAGAATCCGGATCTGAATATCGAAAACATGAAGTCCATCTCCAGGGCTGGTGCTGGGCTGCTGGTGTGGGTCGTGGCTATTGTGAAGTACCACGACGTGGCCAAGAACGTCGAGCCTCTGCGACAGAAGGTCAAGACGATGGAGAAGGAGCAGACGATCAAGGAACAGGAACTAGCGGATCTCAAGGCGACACTTGCTCGTCTGAAGACGGAGCTTGACAGTCTGTCCACACAGTTCCAGGGGGCAAACTCCGAGCTGCAAGGACTCAAGGCGCAGGCAGATCAGATGCAGAAACGACTACACGCTGCCAGTAAGCTGCTAGCTGGCTTGGGCTCCGAACGCACGCGATGGACTAAAGATGTGGACTCCCTCAACCTCCAAAGCGATCGACTAGTGGGCGATTGTCTTCTCACTGCGAGTTTCTTGAGCTACGCCGGTGCGTTCAGCTTCGACTACCGGTCCGATCTCATCTACCGCGACTTCTTCCAAGACATCGAGTCGCGCAAGTTGCCAGTAACGTCTCCGTTCCGTCTTGAGAGCTCACTTACGGACGACGCTACCATCCAAAAGTGGGTCTCCGAGGGGTTACCAGCTGACGAACACTCGGTTCAGAATGGCATCCTGACTACGAAAGCCAGCCGCTTCCCGCTGTGTATCGATCCTCAGCAACAAGCTGTGAATTGGATCAAGAAGAAAGAAGAAAAGAATAGTTTGACCGTCAAGACGCTGAGTGATCCAGACTTTATGAAGCACTTGGAGTTGGCTATCCAATTCGGCAACCCGTTCCTGTTCGAAAGCGTGGACGAAGAACTAGACCCCATACTGGACCCTGTGTTGGAGAAAAGTACGTTCATGGAGGGATCGCAAAGACTCATCAAGCTTGGCGATAAGAACGTCGAATGGGATGCGAACTTTCGACTGTACTTCACGTCGAAGCTTGCAAACCCTCACTACTCGCCTGAAGTCATGGGCAAGACTATGATCGTGAACTACAGTGTGACGCAGGACGGTCTCGCTAACCAGTTACTGAACGTCGTTGTGGCGCACGAACGTCCGGATTTGGAGGAACAGTACAGAGATCTGGTCACCGAGATGTCGGAAAGCACACAGCTCATTGTGGAGCTTGAGGATACGCTGCTACGCGAGTTATCCAGTAGCTCGGGTAATATTCTGGACAATGAGGAGCTCATTGCCACGCTGGATGAAACCAAGAACAAGGCCACGGAGATTAGTGCGAAGCTGGAGTTAGCGAGCTTCACGAAGGACGAGATCACAAAAGCTCGGGAGGTGTACACGCCTGTGGCTCTACGTGGGTCCATCATGTACTTCGCTATGGCAGCCTTAGCAACGATCATGAAGATGTACGAGATCTCGCTGGCGAGTTTCCTCACCGTCTTCCATACTGCACTCGAGACAGCCAAACGAGATGTCGTTCTGGAGAAGCGCCTACGATTCATGGTGCAGTCGATCACCGAGATGATGTACGACTACACGTGCACAGGCATCTTCGAGCGACACAAACTCATGTTCTCATTCCAGATGACGTGTATGATTATGAGTGCCTCGGGCGATCTCCACCGCGCTGAGCTTGATTTCTTCCTAAAGGGAGACACGTCTCTGGATGCCGCTTCTCAGCCGAAACCGGAGGCCATTACGTGGGTATCTGGCGCCGGATGGAAGGACTTGTTGTGTCTAAGCAAGTTGGGCGAAGAAGGTGGTGTATTCGCCTCCTTGATGTCAGATTTTAAGACGCAGACAGGCGAGTGGAAAGCTTGGTACGACCTGGAAGCCCCTGAGCTCGCAGATCTCCCGTGTGGGTACTCCGACAAACTATCTAGTCTCCAAAAGCTGTTGGTCTTTAGATGCTTCCGACAGGATCGCGTGTATAACGCTATGAAGCTGTTCGTGATGGCCATGATGAGCGAGAAGTTCGTGCAGCCTCCAGTCTTGGACTACGCGCGGGTTTACAGTCAGAGTGCAGCCTCATCGCCTATCGTGTGTATCTTGAGTCCAGGAGCTGATCCTCAGAGCGACATTCAGACTTTGGGAGACGAATACGGCTTCTCTGGGCATCGATTCAAGTTCTTAGCGCTGGGTCAAGGCCAAGGACCGTTAGCTGAGCAAATGTTGGAAGCCGGCGCTTCCCGTGGCCACTGGGTGTTGCTACAAAACTGCCACTTGCTAGCGAGCTGGCTACGAACGTTAGAGAAGATGCTGCTGGCTATGACAAAGCCTCACAAAGATTTCCGCTTGTGGCTCACGACGGAGCCTACGGATCGATTCCCGCTTGGGATCCTGCAACGATCGTTAAAAGTGGTGACGGAACCACCTGATGGACTCAAGCAGAACATGCGGAGTTTGTACTCGAAACTGGACCAAACGATGCTGGACGAGTGTCCTCATCCAGCCTTCCGCTCGGTTGTGTACGTGCTGTGTTTCCTGCATGCGGTGGTGCTGGAAAGACGTAAATACGGCAAGATCGGCTGGAACGTTAGCTACGACTTCAACGAGTCGGACTTTACCATCTCGAGGAAGTTACTGAGTCTCTATCTCTACAAGGCATACGAAGACCAGGACGAACAGTTACCGTGGGGCTCCCTCAAATACCTTATCGGTGACGCGATGTACGGAGGTCGAGTCAGTGATGACTACGATCGACGTATCCTCACAACGTACCTATCCGAGTACATGGGCGACTTCCTGTTCGACGATTGCCAGCGATTCTACTTCAGTCGATCAGGGTTCGACTATGTGCTTCCTGGCGCACTGGATGGCAACTCCAACACATTGTCACTGCAGCTTGAAGCCTACGTCTCTACGGTCGAGACGTTGCCGCTAACCAACAGTCCTGCAGTCTTTGGTCTGCATCCCAATGCCGAGATTGGGTACTACACCAACATGTCAAAAAGCGTATGGAAGGATTTGATCTCGCTGCAGCCTCGGTCGGCTCAATCCGGCGCTGGTGTCTCGCGTGAAGATCACATTGGCAACGTGGCTAGCGACATTCAGTCAAAAGTACCAGAGCCCGTCGACGTGGACCAGATTCGAAAGAAATTGGGACTGACACCTACACCAACTCAAGTTGTGCTTCTCCAAGAACTCGACCGCTGGAATTTACTCACAGCTCGTATGCGCGTGTCTCTCGGAGATCTCCAGAAGGCTCTTGTGGGTGAAATCGGTATGAGTGATGAGCTGGATGCCGTGGGTAATGCTCTGTATGATGGCTTCCTCCCGAACCTCTGGAGGTCATTGTGTCCGAAGACAGAGAAGCCACTTGGGAGTTGGATGGAGCACTTCACGAAGCGCTACAAGCAGTACATGGATTGGGTGGCACACGGGGATCCGCGGGTCGTGTGGCTGTCAGGACTGGGTATCCCGGAGTCATATCTCACAGCTCTGGTGCAAGCTACTTGCCGAGCCAAGAACTGGCCACTGGACAAGTCGACGCTGTACACTCGAGTGACGAGTTACTCAAACGACTCGCAACTGCCAGCGCTAGACGGCATGAAAGACGACGCCGGGTGCTACGTCCAGGGCCTTTTCCTCGAAGGCGCGTCCTGGGATCTCGAGCGTGGATGTCTCGCACCACAAAAGCCCAAGCAACTCGTGGAAGAGCTGCCTATTCTCCAGGTCATCCCCATTGAGGCCAGTCGACTCAAGCTTCAGAACACCTTCCGGACGCCAGTGTATGTCACGCAATCGCGACGGAATGCCATGGGTGTCGGTCTCGTGTTCGAAGCAGATCTCTACTCGACAGAGCATGCCTCTCACTGGGTACTGCAAGGCGTCGCACTTGCACTCAACACAGACTACTAACTAGCACAACCACGACATAAATGTGATTTGATTGTTTCAAATACAGTACCAGTAAAAGATTACGAGCTTGTGTTGACGCTGCCCTATGTACGATTCGCTCTATAAATGAAATCGTCTTCGATTTCACCAACAAAACCAACCAGAACAGATGCGATTCCACGAGATCCCAGTACTTCTTCATGTAACTCCAACATGTAGATCGCAACGCCAGCTCAAACGTCAAATTGACCGCTTGCGACGAGAGGTTACGGCACTTGACGCTGAGATTGAGAAAAGGCTCGACGACGCGTCCAAAAAATGTGCAACATGTTGCACGTCACGGTGGAAGCCCATTGCAATTACTCAGTTACGGCACCGACAGCGCGCAGAACACAACAACAAGGTGCTCAAGAGAATGCTCACCGCTCAACTACTTCTGGCAAGATCCATCCTGAACGGGCGAGTTGATCTGCTTCAAGCCAACAATGTATCGAGCCCAATCATTTAGCCGGAATTGATACCTGACACAATATTCTAATGCGGTTTTACTGAACAAAACACGATAATACATTCCCCTTTTACTGTTTAAACCGGTAGACCTTTGCGAATCACAGTAAACGACTCGTGTTTGTCCTCATCAAGAACAGCCTGGAGAAAGCGGTAAAACTCATTAACAGACGGCGGGGATGCGTTGAAGAGGACTGGGAACTGACGAATGCAAATTTCGCCTGACGTTCCACATCCGTCCGGTATCGGCCGAAGACGACTCCAAGCTGTTAGGTTCGAGTGCATCCCACGAAAAATTCCCTCGCCTTCTGTGTATGTTTTCCAAATACACGTAGCTCGATTTTGCTCGATGAATCGACGACCGACAAGTCGCTGCACCACGGAAACAGTCGTGCCGGATGCCAACGTTCGGATAACGCGATATTTAAACGCTACCGTGTTATCAGAATCTCCGATTCCATCGTAATTTTTGCGATCGCGCTGGTGCTGTTGGAGGTTAAAAGATCCCCAGCAGCTCTTTTCAGCTGTATCCAAATCGAAAGGCAGAAAGAACTTATGTAGACTCTGGTGGTACTTCAGCTCACCGGTGCCATCACACCAATGTATCGAGCTTGTCACTCCTATCGGCATGTCAGGCAGGCCGCATCCTGTGAGAATGTCGTCAATTCCGGCAAAGGATGCGCAAATCTTTTGCAGTAGCGTTGAAAACATGGACACATCGGGCGTTTCAAGCCGACGGTCTGTTGTGTCTGTGATGGTAAACATCGGAGCGGTGCTCTCAAGCGCAGCAGAGATTCATGTAGGTGAAGCAACCGGCGGAGGTATTTGATGTAAGTGGCTTGAACTTTCGCGGTTGTAGTCAGTCTTCTCTTTTCAGTCTCGGACCTTTGTCGTTCCTCCCATTGCTTGAGAGCTATTTCTTTCCAGACGGAGCATCGTTGACTGGGATTACGCCGTGCTTCCTTGGCAAGCTTCAGCTTTTTGAGCTTCAAGCTGAGCTCGTCATTCGCTTCGCGCAGTTTGTCGAGCTCATCTTTGACGCGTTGGCGTTGCTTCCTTCGGCGGAGTTTTTCTTTTTCACGGTGCATGGTTAACACAATGATAGCGAGATCGCGCTCGTCGGTACTGGTCTCACTAGTTATTGGAGAAGGAGTCGTAGATGATAAATGGCTGGACGCTCCCTCGCTCGACTCCAGAATCACCAGCATCTCGGTACCTACATTTGTTTCTCTTTCGTCGACGTCGGTGAACAAGGTGCTGGTGGGTGAGAGGCAGTTCCCGTCCAAGAGGTCTGCCGCTTCCTCGAAGAAGGCAGCGTCGGAAAGTAATTCATTGTTTGCCTGCATCTCAAGGTAAGTAGCTGGTTTGTGGCAGACGTAAGCGCTTTGATAATGGTGGCCTCAGAACTGACAAAGCCCATGCGGAATGGACAAATCCCAAATCACGTTCATAGCTGCTGGAATACATACCAGCTTTAAAAAGAAAAAGAAAAACGCTATTAATATTACAGTATAGAAGACGCGAGCACAGCTCGTTAAAATATCCCAGCTGTGAGGGATTGCTCTTATCCGCGATTGCGCAGAGGAGATGACAGAATGACCCGAGTCAGTAGAGCGCATTTTGTTACATTCAGATTTGGTCAGAGCTCGTTATACCATTCGATTGCTTGACGACAATTATACTTCGTATTCCTCTAAGAGGAGTCCTGTTGCACCAAAGAGTTACTGAAGTAAGCCCTCATCACTTCGCTGCATTTTAATACAGCGCGATGACTCCATAAGCTGGTCAATGTTTAGCTCCGTCCGTAAACAGGTCTGTAGACTTCTACTTCTGACAGTTGTAAATTTTAGATACCAGTACAGTACTGTGAAGTAGTAACTGCCAACCTGCAGAAAATTGCAATTTTTTGTATTGCCAATTAAAATGCATGTAGAGAATTGATACCCAGCCTCCGGAGCCCAGTAAAATTACCATTTTGTCATTTTGTTTTGCTTTTTTCGTTTCGGCAACGATAAATGGCAACCTTGTAGCCTACTGCTGCTTCGACTCGTCATCCGAGCCCTCACGCTGGCGCTTCTTACTCGTCTGGGATGTAGGCGGGATACCATACTGGCCGTTGGCATACGACATCTTCAAGCCCTCCACACACCGTTTCATTGCAGTTTTGTGCTCGATAATTGGTGTCGGATAATCTTTGCCAATGCGGCACCCTGCAGCATGCTGAAGAGTCAGTGGGGCTTTCCACGGCTCATAGATATACTTGGCGGGGAAGTTCTTCAATGCTGGAATGTACTTCTTGATGAAGAGACCTTCGGGGTCCGATTTCTTCCCGAAAGAGATGGGAGAATACACGCGGAAGTAGGCCGTGAAGAAATAGCTGCTACTAAGCCAGAGCCAGTTACCAGCGTTGAGGCTCCAGTCGTGATCGATCAGCCGCTCTTGGAAAACCTCGAGCCCACGAACCCACGAGATGTACAGATCACCTCGCGTTAGGAAACACGCTACCGAGTGACGCGCCAAGTGATGCATCCAACCTTCTTCCTTCAGCTGGATCATGATGGCGTCGATCCACGGGAATCCAGTCCGTCCATCTCTCCACGCCTCAAACTGCGAGCGAGCAAGTTTATCGTCATCACTCAAGTCCTCTTCGTTCTCTGGAATCGTGTGGTACCGCCAATTGACCTGAAGACACGTAGAGCTCTCCTCCATCTTGTCGAAATAAGGATTGGCGCGACCGTGGCAATGGTAGAAGTCACGCCACAAAAGCTGCCCGATCAAGCTCACAGGCGGCACAGACACTTTCTTACGTCCTCGCTGGATAGAGCGCACTTGATGATAGAAAGTCCGCGGACTGAGACATCCGTAGAACATGTATGGGCTCAAAACCGTAGTCGAGGGAGTTGGCGGGATCTGCGCAGGGGACGTTTTCGGTTTCTCGAACAGGGCCACACGGTCTTGATCACTACAGTAATTCTTTAACATCTCTAGTGCCTTTTGCTCTCCGCCGTAGATAAACGAATGCTTCTCCGGGGTTTCATAGCCAAAGTACGTGAGATCAGGAAGCGTAAAGTCATGTTCTGGCCCGGCAATCTGGTCGATCTGTCGCTCTCTCTCTTCCAGGTCATCCTCTTTCTCTTCGTCGCTCAATTTTCGATCTTTCCAGTAATTCGCAATCTGCTCATACAACTCGCTGTGCTTTCTCGTGGGGGATGGCAGTGTTTCTGGTGTCGGTATCGGCTCGCGTGGTGTTGGTTGCGCCCCCACCGCTTTTAAAAACCTCTGATATGTTTTTGGCGCCTTACCCGAGTGACTGGCAATCACTACCTCTAAATCGTAGAGATTATATCCTTTCGTTACGTGGGTCTGCACCCCCAGACTCTTGGCCAATGCAAGAGCTCGATCGTCTCGCTCGACTGCATAAGGCTCACAGACGCCGTCGAAGAACATGTGTGTGATGTCCCACGCCGGCAAAACACGTCGAAGCACCTGGATGCTGTCACCTTTCGCTACCACAAGCTTTGAGCCGCGCTCTGCCAGCGCACCGGACAAGTCCGCGACACTTTCGAGTACGAATTGGAAGCGGTTCGCTCCACAGCGCATGATCTGAGGCCGATGAATAATGTACAGCGAGATGAGCTCCACGTCACTCTTCGCCTCCTCAATATGCTGCAGCGCCGCATTCAGCGCCAAGTTGTCGTGCAGACGCAGGTCGCGTCGGAACCAAAGAAGCACCTTCATCCTGGTCCAAGAGGTGCAGTGTGAAAGATCCAAGACTCTACTTCCCACACAACCCCGTCGGTAGCGCTAGGCCTGCGCACTTACCGCAAACACAAAATATAAACTCTACGCTACATGTACCACCAAAAGGTACCCTGAGCATTTTCACCCGTACAATACAATACATCTGGACAAGGCAGTCGATAAAAATGTGGAGGGCGATAGCTTAAGATACTCGGCTATCTTGGGCTGCTCACCTTTATACGATGTGCTTAAGTTGGCATTTTAGCTCTTGGCGATTGTCAAAATACGTATGAGCAATTTTATTTCTTCTTCAAGATAGCTACATTTAGTGTGCACCACACAGTCCCACACTTCATCTATCGGGGAGAATCCGTCGCTACGTATCAAAGTTCCACCATGTCCTCGTCCTCCGGGGAGCAGCGCGTTGCGTTCCGCTCCACGGCCGTGGTCACGGGATTTGAGGGCAAGGTGGAGTGCGTGACGCACTACTCGTCGCGCGTGGTCGTGGGCTCCAAGGACGGACGCCTCGTCATGTATGATACACGCAAAGGCACGTCCACATCCACAGCCTCGCACACTTTTTCACACGGCCAGCGCGTGGAGCAACTGCTCGCTGTGCCTCATATCCGTATGCTCATCGTCGTCTCCAACGGGGAAATATCAGCCCACGGCGCTACAGACCTCAAGCCACTGGACTTTGACTTCTCTAAAACTAACATGCACAAGGTGCGACTTGTGTGCGTGAACCAGCGCGGCCCGCCACACTTCCGCCTGGGTATAGCGATGCTAAAGAGGAAAGCCATTGCTATCTACCAGTACCACAGCAGCGACAAAAGCTACGTCTTCTTAAGAGAGTTCAGTACCCAAGACGTACCTGAAGCCATGAGCTGGTACAGGAACAAAGTCGTGGTCGGCTTTAGGAAGGACTACTATCTACTAAACGACAAGTCTGGAGACGCCACACAGATCAACTCTCCTGGTATCCAAGACCCCACAGTGTTTCCCGTGGCTAAACTGCTGCCGAAAGAGGAGATTCTAGTCGCCGTGATGGATCGAGTCGGAGTTTTCGTGGGCTTTACGGGAGATACTTTGCCCAAGAATTCAGTGACCTGGTCTCAGAGCCCGCAACAAGTAGAATTTTCTTCTCCGTACTTGCTGGCATTAGTGCCGAGAGTGGGTGTCGAGATCCATCGAGCCAGTGATGGAGCTCTCGTGCAGACTATGCCGCTCACACGAGCCGTGTGCATGTTCGGCAACGGTATGAAGTGGGATATGGAACCGAGACAAAGTGGGGACAGCGAGGATATCATCATTGTCGGCGTGAGAGAGTCGAATGGCACGTCCAGCGTCATGAAGGTCGAGCCGATGCCGTTGGATCAACAGGTTGGAGAACTTTTGGATCGTGGACAGATCGACGAGGCGCAGAATCTTGTGAGGAAGTCCATTTCGTCCCTATCGAGTGACAAACAACGCAGCAAGATTAAACGCTTCCAACGTCAAGCTACGGTGGCGCTTTTACGTCGACTGGAGTTTGACCAGGCTGCTGACTACATGTACCGCGCTGCTATTGAGCCGTGTGAGTTTATTGCCTTCTTCCCAGACCTTCAGTGCTCCTCGTTCGCGTACGAGCCTTCAGTGCTCAAGCCCGAAGTGCTCCCTCGTGGTAGTAGCTCAGCTCCCGATATTACGTCAGTTGTGCAGGAACTTCTCTCGTCTCCACGTGCTCCTCTAAGCAGCGACATTGCCAAGAGTGACGCTGCTGATCTCGTCAATGCTGCACAGAAAGCGCTTCTCAAGTTCCTCAACCAGTTCAAGAAACACATGCGAGACAAGGCTCGCGCCCGTGTGCGCACCATGTCTTCAGCGCGTGGTCGTACAGGATCGAATGCCAGTCCCAAGGATGCACGTCGCATCGAAGCGATCGATACGGCGCTCTTCCGTCTCTACGTTCACTTTAAGAGATACAAGGAGCTGCTTGTTCTCATCCAGGAGCCAAACCCAGACGTGGAGGGTCCGCCAGGATCGCTCGGAGGCTGCGCGCTTGAGCTGGAATCGTGTCGCTCACTGCTGATGAAGCACAAATTGTACTACGAGGCAGGTCAGCTGCTGTGCGCTCACCAAAGCTACGATGACGCCCTCGAAATACTTGCCCTGCTGCATCACGGCGAGTACAAACAGCGCGGTGGGTCAAGCGGCATGCCCAAGTCGCCGATCGAGGCAGCCATTGATGTGCTTGTGTCTGTTCCCGAGTCCGAGAGCGAGTTCATCTTGAAGCAGTCGATTTGGATTATCAAGGCGACATCTGCTAAGCAAGCCCTGCGTATCTTCACAGAGCGCCGGCCACCATTGCCATCGAATGATGTGGTTGCACACTTGAGGGAGCACTCGAATGACCCGGCTATTGTTCAAAGGTACTTGGAAACTCTCGTTAAGGCGAATGGTGAAGCAGGCGCAGCTCTCACAAGTGCAGCAACTGGTTCAGGAAGTGACAGTGGGGTCAGTATCGAGGGCAGCAGTAGAGGCTTTAATGCCTTTGCTGACCCTGCAGCTGCAGAGTTGGGAGTAAATGACAGCTACAGTCACTTCTTGGCTGGTGACAATGACGACGACGATGAGCCTACACGTGGCCCAGACGGTGGCGCGGCGTCAATTGTGGTAGACCCTCATCACACCCGTTTGGCTCTGGAATACCTCGACGAAACATTGCGACTTGTAGCCAAGGGAGAGACGCCGTCAAAGTCTCAACCAGGCAAGGAGCCTGGTCAGTTGGGTGAGGCTCGTAAACGGCTACTTAAATTCCTCAAGTCAGGTTCGTCACGCTACGACGTGGTGCCGCTGGTGGAGAAGATCAGGGGCAAGCCCCTGTACAACGAGTTCGTGATCCTGTGTGGTCGTGGTGCGTTGCATGAAGAGGCTGTGACGTCGCTCGTCTACGAATTGAATGACCTCCGCGGTGCAGAAAGCTACTCGGTCAAGTATGGGGCCCGTGCGGCTTCGGTTGGGTCGTCAATAGGGCCTAACAAGAAGACTGGGGCGGGAGCCGCCATGGAGCGTAATGAGGCTCTGATAGAACTGCTGAAGATTTGCTTCTCGCCTCGTGACGAGTCCAAGAAGGCAGCGTTCAACGACTTCGGGTTCCAGCTACTTGCACGTCACGGCAAGAGCCTCGACAGCGCTGCTGTGTTGGATATGGTGCCACTGACCACACCGCTGTCCAAACTGGGAGAATTCTTCGCACAAGCCTTGCCACACAGTGCGCACAACGTGCGTGAGATGAGCATCACCAAGTCGCTGTCGAACGTCTACAACCTCCAAGTCCAATGCGACCGCGTGGAGCGCTTGACCCAAAGTGTGCAGGTGGACCCCAACACCCTATGTCCAGTGTGCCACAAGCGCATCGGCGACATCGTGTTCGCAGTTTACCCGAACGGCAAGGTTGTGCATTACAACTGCACCAACAGCAACCTCCAGCTTTGTCCTGTTACAGGCGAGCGCTTCTCTTAAGCAACAGGACACAGCAGACAGCGTAGCATAGCTTCGTTAGCAAGAGTTGGTGTGAAAAAAATGTAGTAGAAAAGCACTTGGGCACAGAGATTCATAGTATTAGATGAAGAATGTATACCCACCCACCAGGACTCAGCCTTCAGCTTTTAGCGTCTGCGCGATGTCTTTCTGCTCTTCGCTGGTTGCAGTTGAGTGGGTGGGCCCAGCTCGCGTTCCTTATCCGAGAAGGCGTCACAGACCTTCAGGTGGTCATCGATACTTTCCTTGGTTCGAACGAGGAACATGTGAGCGCATGCTGATACTGGACGACCCAGTTCGTCTCGGACGTAGTCTGCGAAGGTCATTTGCCTTTTCTTGTCGAGCGAGAACACCTTGCCAGCTTCTAGACGCCCCGAAGCGATCCATCTCGCCTCGTCGATATTAGCAGGATTCGGCAGTACGCAGACTTTCTGGCCTTTCAGATGTCTGCACAGTCGCTTCTGGATAAGTCTCCGCAGCTTCAAATACGAGCGGCTACTCGTCGATACACTGCTAGAAGCAGAGTTACTTGCCGACTCCACCTTCTGCTTCTTCGCAGCTGAAGCATTGGCGATGGAACCCTCCGCTTTTTGCCGCTTCGATGACCTTGAAGGTCTCGAAGGCGACGCTTCAGTCTCCGACGGCGCTGGACTCGTCACCACCGACCGTGAGATCGCTTTGGTTAGTATCGCTGTGTTGTTCACGATGGGTGCCGGCGGGACCACTGGCGCCACCTTCATGGTCATCAATCTCGGGTGACATTGAGCCATTGCCTCCTTCAGCACTCGTTCATCCTCTTCACGTTGCTCCGCCTCCATCTTAATTCCAAGTTGCCTCAATTTGTTAAAGCTGGCAGCATTCTCGGCCATCTTCTTCCTCTGCTGTTCATATCCCTCCAGCGCCTGTTCTTGACTATTAAAGGTCCCGATAGTCACAATTTGGTCTCTCAACGAGACATTACACAACCACGTTGCGTTGTTCTCCGTTTCCTCGTTTTCTGGCCCAATGGACGCGACGTTAAGTAGCCCAGGGACGCCGTAATTCGAGCCTAAAGAGATCGTCGCTCCAGCCTTATTGGACACCTTCACGACATTCTCCTGGCCTTGCTTGTCGCTTTCAGTATCTGCGATACGGTCCAAAAGACGCTGTACCTGCTCCTTCAGCTCTGGGGGCTCCGCCACTCGCTCCAACTGTTCCAGATCCAGCAGAAATGCGCTAGCTGAGCCGTACTGGTATGAATTAAGACGCCACAGCATAAGGCGACAGTGCTGCGTATAGCGGGCAGTTGGGAGCGCAACGGCCGGGGATTTGGAAGAAGAGATATGGTTTTTCGTGCTGATGAAGGAAGACACAGTATATGGCGGCGGGAGTAGCTTCAGCAGCGTCGAGAAGTCGCCGCGCAGTCGCTCATTTAGCGCGACTACCTCCATGGTCTTTTCAGATTTTGCAATAGTGACAAGGCGCAACGTAATCTTTTAACGCAACTTAGCTCCCCGGTTTTCTATCTTTTGTGCACCGTAAATTCGATAATGATGTCCTTGAGGACACTTGTAGTGTTCTGCTGTGGACTATTAGACGTACCTTAGGTTCGTCGTGGGCGTGGTTGTCTGCGGCAGCTTGAGACCAGCGGCAGTGGCAGAGCTGAGACCGCGTGGCAAGGCAGTCGAGGTGGATGACATGGCTGGCGTGGCGTCGATCGTTTGCGTCTTTGACGAGTTGGACACGATCACCATCGCTGTGCCCGCGATGATCAGCAGGGAGCCCGCAATAGTGAGTAGACCAGGGAAGACATCAACCCCCACTGCAACACCCATAAAGGCAGCCAGCACGGGCTCCACGAGCATCACAACCGAGACGACGATGGGAGCGAAGTACTTCATCACAGCGATGTAGCCCAGCGTACCGATGAGAGTGCAGATGAGAACAATGTACGCTTCCGATGCTGCACGTGAAGGGTCTAACCAGCCAAATAGCCCCATGTCGGGATCCCGAGATGCCTCGAACGGAATCTCCAGGAGCGAGAACACGGGGAAAATCAGCAGAGCAAGCAACGTGAACATGCCAACGAACAGGATGCTGATGTCCATCTCCGTACGTAATTTCTTCGCCGTGATGAGGTACAGAGCACCTCCGACAGCACCGACAAGAGCTACAAGATCTCCAGCCAACGAAACCTGCACCACTTCAGCTCCCGATGACGACGCCTGTGGATGATCTAGCGTTGTAAGAGCCCCACCAATCACACCGATGGCAGTTCCGAGGCCCTCAAACTGCGATACATACCGTCCAAGCAGCAAACGACCAACCACCATGAGCAGCGAATGGCAGTTGTTAAATATGTAGGCGTGATCAATGGAAGTGTGTGCCAACGCCCACAGGAACGTCATGAGGAAGACCGCGTAGGACAGGGAACACGTCAGGAAGAGGATCATATTTCGCGTCGAAAACTGCGGCAGTCCCCGATCATACAGCGCAGCACCAGCAAGCGGGATGAAGACAATCAGCGACGCCGTCGTGCGCCAGAATAGCTTCATGAACGGGTCCACATTCCGCTGCAGATCCAACGCTGCGCCCATGGACGAAATCGTAAATAGCGCAGCTAATAGCAGCATGTAGCCGATGATAGGCACCTGGCGTTTGACGAGCAACTGCAGCTCCATTGTACCATTGCGGAGCTCCACCGTTTCCACAGCAATGTCCTTGACATCAGTAGGCAGCGAAGACAAGCGACGCAACAAGCCAGGACGCTTGTACAGCGTGTCACTGTCAGGTACAGCAAGCACAAATTGCTGCGAAGTCTCCTGCACAGCTCCGGGACCGCCTCCAGTTGTCGTAACCTGTGGAAGTTCAATCAGGTACGCATTTCTCTCCATTACTGACTGCATCCCACGCTCTCCATGTAAGGTGTTGATATCAACCGAGGCATTCGGCGGTTGCTCGAAAGGAATAGACAACACGAATGAGTCCTCGGCCTGCTCTAGGAACGAACTCCTCTTACGTCGGATAGCCAAAGGAACATGCGGTCCCTGACGGTCATGACGCGTCGGAGAGCCACCAAGCAGTGGCGTAGTTTCTCGAGCCTGCACAGCCGCTCCAGTGGGCGCAGAATCGTTGACATCATCCACTTCCTGCAGCTGGTTCACGCCCACGACAAACCCTTCAAATACATCTTGTGACTGACGAACATGCGCATCAACTGCGCGTAACATCGAGTCATCGTCAGCAGCAGACACAGCGAGAAAGACATTCTTGCCTCCAGGAGTTGTCGGTCTTGAGGGCGTTTTCTCTTCTGGCTCCTTGGCAACAAACACTGGCCACGGGGACAGCGACGCAACACTGTCATTCGCTAGAATTGCATCCAACTGCGCCTGTGTCTCCACACTCAGCCACGCATCTCCGTCCGTCTGCAGATACTTCAAGCCATAACTCGGACGCAACATATTCAGCGCCTCTGCTAGTGAGAACTTGGGCTTCTCATACGCCAGCATCTCCAATGCAGCAAATAGCCTCCCTGTCGTTAAGAACAGACCAGCATCGATAGCGTCAAACTGCTTCAGTCCACGACCAATCTTGCGAATCGCCCCACTCGTCGAATCCAGAAGAATCTTTCCCGCGGTAGACGGTAATCCCTGGAGCTTCTCCGTATCCGTATCCACCAGCACACAAGCAACACACCCGTCCAGTTCGAAATGGGCCAAGCGACTGATGATGGCTCTGTCAAAGATATGGTCGGCCGTGTGGATCAAGAAAGGCTTCGTAAACATCTCTCTGGCGGACAGCAGCGTGCGTGCATGCCCGTAAGGTGTCTCCTCTCCTAAGTTTAAGAACTCGATCTGCAGCTTCGAGTACAGGAAACTCTCCTTGACGTGCTCCATGATCTCGTGGCCAAAGTACGAGATAATGATCACGACCCTCTCCATCCCCGCGACGAACAGTTGAGCCAAGATGTGCTCGATGAGCGTGTACTCTCCGAGCATGATGAGGCACTTAGGCGTGTCCGATCCATCCAGGCACATGGTGCTGGAAGCCGCAGTGAGTAGCACCTGCTTAACGCCAGTGTCTGCGCCCCCTGTGGGCGATGGGCTACCGTGGTGGTACGTACTATCAGCGTCGTCTTCATCCTCTGGCGTCTTGCCAACAGCCTCAAAGGGTACCTCCTGGCCGCGATTCACCACGACGCCTTGCATGTCTACGGCGTCTTCAGATTGCATACCCCGCACCAGCTCCGCTTCAGGGATGTGAGCCAACTCGCTGAGCTTGTGCAGATCCAACGCGTACACGTTGGACGGTACCTCCGTGTCGATCTGGAGACGCTCGCGGCCTTCCATCGTTGTAGGACTGTGAGGTGTGAGGAGAGACAATAGACGCAACGACCGCCGATGATCGCTTGGCTTTCGCTTTTGGCTCGCAATGATAAATAAAACACTAGAAAACGTTGTTTTTTTCGCCGTTTAATTGGACTATATAATATATTGCGCGGCACAAAAACTGTCTCGGCTGATTCTTTCCTCCATAATGGTGTGGTGTACATGGCGTAATATGTCAAGTTGAAGTGCATTTAGGTTTTACTAACCGTTAGACGCTTTTGTCTTCGGAGTAACAGCGTATATCGTTGATCTCCGGGCTCTCATCTCCGCTGTCTTTGCCATCCGCATTCTGATAATGATGTTTAGCAAGAGGCGTGGCATCCTCCTCCTCCTCTGCGGCTTTGGCGTCGTTGGAGCGGTGCGATTTGGGCGGTGAGTCATCACTGCCACTCTCGGTTTTGAATTCCCGTGGTGATTTGTCGTTACCGCTATCATCTTGTCTCACCTCAGATGAAAGGGAATCATGATAATCATCACTACTTGTCTTTCTTTCGGATGATGATGAACGACTGATGACTTGTTTGGCATCGACATCGGGAGTTTGATTCGCGCTAGGAGCAGAACTTGATGGCTCTGATCGTTTGAGAAGAGAGCGACGTGGAGCCAGTAGATTTGTTGTCGTTGTTATTGCCCCAGTAAGATCTGGCGCCTCCTTCGGCGATTCAGGAGATTTCTTTGGTGACCCAACAGATTGCCGTACCGACAAATCGTCGTTCAGCCTCCAATTCAGATCGATACGCGTCGAAGGCGAAGGAGACAGCGGCGCACGCTGGCAGGATGACGTGGGTGACCCGGTTAGTCTGAGCTGTCGGACTAGTTCCCACTTTAGCGCCTTCATGCGCTCCTCCTGCTCGCAAGCTTTCTTCTTTGCCAGTTCCGCATCCTCTTTGGCCTGCGCTACCTACATGTACACAAGATTGATATCAATCTCTATCTTATACTGTAGTAATGCCTTGTACGAGCTTACGAGCGCTTGGAGCTCATCGATTTTCGCTTGCAGCTGGCGTTTGTCCTTCGCAGCGGTCGCCAACTCTTCTTGGTGCTTGGCCGATCTCTTCCGCGCCTCTTGCTGAAGTGCAGCGACTTCTTTCTTTAAGGCGCTTTGCGTCAAACCCATTTGTGGCTCTAACGTTGTTTTACGATGAATTAGCGAAAAACAATCATGAGTTATAAAAATAAAAGAAAACTTGTTGCTCAAAAATATTTTCCGTGTCGACTAGCTAAAAAAATGCGCTTACGACGGAACTTTGATCTCAAACATCATCTCCGCTACTGAACAGCTTGTTTGGTAAAGCCAAATGCCATCTGATACAGGTAGGAGACACCAAGGAAGCCAACACTGCATCCCGTCGAAGCCAGCTCAAAGCCTGTAGCCACGAAACCATTTGTGGAAGCGTACTCGTACCACGACTTGAAGCACTCTTTTGCCACTACACTGATTTGACGGGCACTAATCTTCAACAAGAGGAACCAGAGTTTGGACATCTAGGTGTGGAATAGACAATAACAATTCACGATCAGTTCGAGAGCGCCAGAATTTGTAGGCGAGAGACCGAAATTTACCTGAATGAAGTTGGAACAGAGCTCCATCGTCAACTTCGCGTGCTCCGGGTAATACTTTTCTATCATAAGCGCCAGCGCGACCATGCTTGCCACAGGGATCTATCACACGCGGTAACAATGCAGAAATCGTATTAGCTCCTCCCCAGTTTAAAGTCACAGCAACCAACAGAGCTCAATACGTACCGCCAGCCCAATGAATGGCAACCCGGCGACAGTGAGTGCTCCTGCGAGGAACGGATGTTCCACTGCTTCTTCACGAGTCCGGTTATACAGGTCCATGACGTACGTCCGAAGCACGGCAGATCGTTTCAGCTGCCCGTTATTCTTTGTTTTATTTATTCCCTTCATGCGTGAACCTTCATCTGTATCTGCATCGTGTTCCTCGTCTTCGATCTCCTCAATCGTTATTCGGTCACCACGGTCTCCCGCATTTACTTTCCTGCGTTCTTCATCTCCAAGCGACGTAAACAGCGACTGTCCTGCATCTAGGAGCTTCTGTGCAATGTTCAGTGATAACTGCGCCGCCAATGCCAGCTCGTCCGGTGTAATTGTACTCAGGGCGTGGTCCATTGTCGTGCACATGTTCTCCGCGAACACCATCATGTTACGTACGTTCTCTTCGTCGGTTGAGACCATAAGCACAGTCGATCCCGCCTCTCTATCAGCTACCACTACACTATCACTCGTGCTATCGCCACTTTCGTCCTTCAGCAGTGCATGTGACGTCTGCAATGCCTCCAGCACCTTAGCGTCGGCCTCCTTGACATGGTAGCACAGCTCGCGCATCTGCGCGGGGTCCTGCAAGATCGCACCCACATTCTGGCCCACGCTGCGGAGACTCTCCTGTGTGGCGGACACAGCGCTAGCCAATCCGGCGGCAACTTCACCCACGCTGAGCTCCTGTACCGCCGCATTCGCCTCTACGCACGTCTGAGCCAACAGGTCCAGTATCGTCGCGTTGGCTGCTGCATGCTCTCGTGCGCCGGAGACGGTTGAAGGCATGGTTAGAGAGCCGCCTTGGGCAGTAGCACACTGCTGGATAAGTAGCTCCATGGCTTGAGTCTGCGCAGCTCACTGCAACTTCCAATTTCTTGAGTTTTTCTCGCTGCGTTTTAAGTTCTAACCACATACCGGTATCTGAATTCAATCCAACTTATTATGAGCTGTTCTGATTGGCTAATTTTTTCTGTCTGTTTTCCTTAGCGGTTAGCGAAAGGGTCATCTCAAAATTGCTGATGCCCACACGAAAGAGGTCTGAAGCTAGGCACTCGGTCATATCATCCGGGATAGTTTTTACTGCAGTCGTAATGGCTGAGCAAATGTGTCGGATTCATCTAGTCCAATCTGAGAAACGCTTGCAGATGCTGCTCTTCGGTAAGTCGTGAGGGCGAATTTTTCGGAGGGGTGGGTAATTTCGTGCTTCATCGCCAAGCCATCAGAGCATCCAGGCGGCGTAAGGTCCCCCACGAAGGAGTTTGAAAGACTCGCACAGTAAATGAAAATTGGTCGCTGTTAAAAGTACGCTGTTTTACTGTCGTCAGTCTCCATTGTCTGAGGTGGCGGGGATCTGTTAGACTGCATTATACCGACACGCTTCAGCAACGCATTAATGGTACTGTCAAACAAATCCTTGGCTACGTTGCCAGCGGCAACGCCTTTTTTATTCAATGAGATTTGACATTCCCTCTAAAAGTACATGTATTGGCGGCAAGATGATTGCATGCACTGTAACTGTTTGTTAAGCTCCATATATGCTGGCTTCACCCCTCACAAATCAGCTCTGATCGAAGTTGTGTCTCAAATTCTGGTGACGAAATAAATAGGACGAAAGTAGCGGGTGCGTCGCACCAGCATCGCACCGTGCGATGCTGATAGACCTCATTCAAATAGTCATGATGCTGCACAAGCGAAGATATGCAGAGTTTGAGAATATATTGCAGTGCACTGGTATTTTGAAGACTTGGAATCATTTATTGAACACATAACTCCACACATTGCGCAGTATCATCACTAAAATGAGGCGGTAGCGCCGCGTACTCAGCTTTATGTAGGGGCAATCCTGCCACCTCACGACCTAGATATTGGTCACCAGCCGATTCGTAGCGGGACACAATCAAACGACCAAATAAGGCGCAAACAAACACTGGCGATTGACGAACCTCCCGTAGTTCCACTACACGAAATATTGCAACGCCATTCCTTATGGAGGGGCTCCATAATGATTGAGCCCAGTTATTTGTGTTATCATTTGACACAGCGTATTTTCGAATAGAATATTTTGACGGGAACCTGGGAATAGTCACCCTGGCTGCTGTGCTGGTCGACATGCAGAATAGACTGCAAGTGCAGTGACCCAACACGTTACAGGGCTACGGGGATTCGCGTACATGTGCCGCGGATCTTTGGGTTCAGATCTGTAGTGTCGCTACCGATGGAAATGTAAAAGTGATATATATTGACTCGCTCCTAGCTCGTACTAGGTGGTCTCCTATGTATGCTTTTAGAGTTTGGTGGACCGTTATCCGCAGTGGTATAACGGTCCATGGTTGCTGCAGGTACGCGGTTGGATAACGTTCCACATTCCGTGCTTACACCTTGCAGTTGATTCTCAATTTCTTTAGTAACGTGTTGGTGTTGGTGAGTTCAACCTCATCAACACCTACGCGTTGTTGTTCAGCAACAACACTTCCCCCTCCAAAAGCTTCAAATGTAAAGATGCTGTAGGCGCCAGGTTTGCTGGATCGTATCAAGTGCGGCCTAGTTGATCCGTAGCACCTTTCTGAGTTCCTTAACCGCTGGAAGCATTCCGTGAGATTGAACGAAAGCTTTAACCGCTGCAGGCACATCCTGCATCAGTGTGGCAGCTGGCTCCCACGAATCTTCGATCGTATCAAGTCCACGCCAGTGAACTTTAAGCTCGTGACGTTTGTCCTGGCGGTTGTAACGCGCCTCAAGTAACTTGTCTACGACGTGCCCTTCACTGTTATGTGCTATGTGTAGCAGTAGGTCCTCGCTGACGTTGAGCGAGTCATCAGCGTAAAACTTTAGGCGGCTAGCGTGTGCCTCCTTGCGCTGGCCTGTAACAAGGTTTTGAATTTCAAAAATCCAATTGGACACGGTGGAAACCACCTGTGCCGGTCCACACCAGTTCACGCTCAACTTACTGCGCGTGTGTTGCCACACATCGGCGTACAAAACGTAGTCTCCCACGTCAAACTGGGCCATAGCAGTACCTTGCTTTTTGTCGCGACCCTTACGTCCAGCAGCACGAACGGCTGCGTTCACCTTCGCGCTGCGTTTGTGCATCTGTTCTAATGCGTGTTGCAGTCGTACGACATGTTCACGCTGGGCGTCTTGTACCTCCTGCAGTGTAGCCATTTCAACTGATCCTGGCACAGCAATATGGTCACTTGGACCCATTTCGCGGAGCCCAGTCATTGCGGTCACCGGGGCTACACCTCCCAGTGCCGGTGATGGCGTGTTGTTCAGCACTAACTGAACAATCTTAATCACTCGTGGCCATTCACGGGGCTGTAGTCGCCACTCTGACAACAATGCGCGGCAGCACCGTAGCGTCTCCCGCATCACCACCTCAACTGTACCGTTAGCCCAAGGGCACCTGGCAGTAGTGAAGTGGTGGTGTGCCCCAAGTGCATGTTGAAATGCTTCGATGACTGTGTTTTTAAAGTGTGTGCCCTGGTCACTGACCCAGGTACGACACACTCCAAATGACGCAAACCAGTCCAGTAGAGCTGCAAACGTAGTGTCCGCGTCAGCCGCCTTGCTGGGCATGAGCCACACAAACTTCGACGCATCATCTTTAATCACCAACACGTATTCCAGTTCACTGTCACTTTTTCCCATGAACAAATAATCCCAATGGATTAACTCGTTCGGCTTCTCGGCGTGCATTGCTTCACCCAGCGGTCGAGGCTGTGGTGGGCGGCCGAGCGTACTTGCACAGTGCAAACAGCGTCCAACAAAAAACTCGACATCTTTCGCCAAATTTGTCCACACAAACTTGTCACTGATTTGTTTCAATGTCACCTTGGTGCCTCGGTGTCCTGCGATACCGAAATGTCCAACCACACATACACGCATTTGCATATCTGTAGCTTCATCGGGAATCCAGATTCGACTGTGTTCATCTCGCCACAACAAGTCATCAGTCGACTGTGTGAATTCTTCCGGTGGTGACGCAGCTTGCTGCACTACCACGATGTCCCCAATGGTAGGCCACACGAATTGGGCATCGAGTTGCGGGGAGATAGGCAACGGGACTTGCCGTATAGCACACACAGTCTTAAATGTCGATCCCCATCTTGAAAGTAAGTCTGCCCATGCGTTATCCTCACCCGCAATATCGTGGATCTCGTACTTGTAGCTCATTAACAACAGTGACCACCGATGCAACTTGTCAGCGGTGTACTTGGGAACAGAGTTCGAAACACTATGCGGGTCAAATATGAAGCGCAAATTTCTATGATCAGTGAACAGCGCAAAGCCATCATGTCGGTGGAGAAGATAGTCGGCTCGTCGACACGTTTCAACGATGGCATAAGCTTCCTTTTCGACGATAGCCCAACGCTTGGCTGCTCCAGAAAATGATCCACTCAACATCATTAGTGGCTGATGTTCCTGCTCACTTAATGGTCGAGTTGTCTGATCTCGAGGAATTTGTGTAATTGCCGCACCCCAGTGTTCCTCACTAGCATCTGTGTACACCGTGAGTCGCTTTTCAGGGTCAGGATGTGCTAATTGAAGTGCATTTTGCAGTGCCGCCTTGCAACGGTCTAAGCATGCATCTTCACTCTCACCCCAGCCAACAGCACGAAGCAACACATGTCTTACTTGGTTCTTCTTGCGGCCACCAGCCCTCTCGTATACTTTCTCCATCATCTTCACTAATGGATCAATCAGCTTATTAAATGCTGGAAGCGAAGCCCGCATCCAATTTAGCGCACAAATGAATTGCTGGAGCTCTTGTCCCGTTGTTGGTGGCGAAATGTTGGCCAGGGCGGCGATTCGCGCTGGGTCGTGGCGAACGCCCTCGCCCGAAACAACCCGACCGCACCACAGTGCTTTGCGCAGGTAAAATTTGCATTTCTTGGGGTTTAACTTGAGTCCTTTAGTAGCACAAATACTCAGCACTTTCTTTAGTAATGCAAGCAATCCCTCATCACTGTCGTCATATCCCAACAAGTCGTCAATCCAAATCATTAAACCATCGTTAAAGACTTCGTCAAACATTTGCTGAACTGTAAACTGCACGTAGGCTACGCTGTTAGTCCCTCCCATTAGCACTCTGGTTGGAGTTATTACCCCTTCTTCCGTTAAGATAGAGTAAATCTCTTGGCACGTCAACGCCATCGCAAACTGCCAAAATCCTTTGAAGAAATCAAGCGAGAAATATCGCGATGAGCCACGTAACTGCTCGAAAGCTGCCTCCAGTATCGGCATGGGCCACACAACTGACTCCACACAGCTATTTGGACCACGAACATCTACGGTCATGCGATAGCTTCCAGCTTCGGGTTTGCTAACAACGTGGGGAGGTGAACACCACCTGCTGCGGGGGTTCCGATAGCACAAACCGGCGCTGACTAAGGCATTAATGTGCTTCTTCAGAAATTCACGGTGTAATGGCGAGTAACGCCTCGCTTTACACCTCACTAAAATCGATCCAGGTTTTAAAGTTACCTCCATTGGCGGCATATCCACCGGAGGGTCACGCCCAATTATAATTCGAAAAACATCGATGAACTCCATGAGTATAGCTTGCAGCTCGTCGCAGAATTCAGCTGTCGCACCTTGTTGTCGAGCTTCCTCGACTTTTTCAAAGAGAAGAGCCCGAATTTCTTGTCGTTCTGCATCAATATCACTCGTGAATTCAGGAAAACAAGCTCGATCTTCATCATCCTCCATTGCACGTTCTTCTTCAGTAACAGTAGCGGTCTGACTGTTTTCTGAGTATGCAAGAACACTAGCTATTCCACTAGTTGGTCTGTCATCTACATCGCTCATATCCCACTCAGTGCTTACTCGTTGCGCTG